GAGGACAGGTGAGGAGGACAGGTGAGGAGGAGGACAGGTGAGGGGCGGGGGACTTTTGTGGCGCCTTAAAAGACATGGTGGGCCGGCCGCATCGTGACCTACAGCAGCAGCACCGTCTTTATCTCAACGACCAGGACAGGTGAGGAGGAGGGGCGAGACAGGTAGGGGGGGGGGGCAGGACCCGTCGTAGATCCGTCAGATGCTCCCGTCAGGTCGACGAAAATGTTAGCAAGCCGACTAGCGATATGAAACAAATCCAGTCGTCCGGTGACGGCGGCGAAAAGGGGACAGCCGAGTTGCTGCTGCTAGCGCTGATGATCAAAAGGGGGAAGAGCCGTGGTATCTGGAACAAAGGAAAGGAGAACATGACCAGGATGAGTTGCAACCCGGCCTTATACAGAGGAGCACAGGTTAAAATGCATACTCCATCAAGAACGAGCTTGGACAGATAGGAAGGGAATCGGTGGCAATTCCTATCGTGATCAGGTGAAATTTCTAATTGGTTGTTGTTGGAAATGTCGGGTCAAGTCGTGATTAGTGTAAGGCTGACATTTATGGGATACTTAACCTGATTGTGTGTTGCCCATAGGTCCTCTGGGATGTCCCAGAGATTCGGAAAAGTCTACTGGTTTGGTTCCATCCTGGGGGCAGCAGTGGTCCTTCAAAGTCAGTATGCCCTTTAGACCTAGTCGATTCGCGAACAGGTGTTTGTAGATCACAAAACGTCGTCATGCTGAGTATGGTCCTGCCAGCACCAGAAAGCTCCCTTAGGGCTTCTAAATATTCTAAAAAACCGACTCCCGTAGGGCTGCCTGCGCCACGTAAAGACACGGAGAGAATTCTAGTCCTAAACGACGTCAATGTGTGCTTGGCATGGATGCGTGCCCCCTCTCCCTCTCTCTTCTCCCCTCCTCCCCCACCCCCGCGCACCCGCCCATGCAGGGTGGAAAGGATCACACAGTACGAGATGCACTCCGTGCTGGGGCGACATTCCCGCCCATTCCCATCCCACCCGTTCCCACCCATTCCCACCCGTTCCCACCCGTTCCCACCCATTCCCACCCGTTCCCACCCGTTCCCACCCATTCCCACCCGTTCCCACCCGTTCCCACCCATTCCCACCCGTTCCCATCCGTTCCCACCAATTCCCGCCCATTCCCGCCCATTCCCATCCCACCCGTCCCCACCCGTTCCCGGCCATTCCCGGCCATTCCCATCCCACCCGTTCCCACCCATAAACGGGTCTTAGACGCAGCGTCTTAGACGCAGGACGCTTCTTTGGGCCCTGTGAGACGCTGAAAAAGACGCATGCCCGGGCAGGGCAAAAAAACGTCCGGGCAGCCAAAAAAACATGCTATAGGGCATGGGAAGGAGGGGGGGAGAACGACGTACCACACATTTGAGGCAAAATTTTCCAGATCCAACATATTTTCCCCCATAAACAGGTATCCCAAGAGTCACACATGGTCTAGGGTTTTTGAAGGAGAATTGAAGGAGCTAAACCCAATAGGGTTTTTGAAGGAGAATTGAAGGAGCTAAACCCAATAGGGTTTTTGAAGGAGAATTGAAGTGATTGAGATATGGAGGCAAATGAAGTGCTTGTGCTCCTACAAGTACTTGGTGGTGGGCCAAAATGGTTGGGGGGGTTTTCAAACTAGGTTGGGGGGCGGTTTTTCAAGGTCGAAATGGGTGTTGGGGGGGTCAATTTCGCGAAATTGACATTCGTGACGAAAGCAGTTTCGCGCTGGGCAATTTTTTTTTCCGGTCAGCCCGAAAAAAAACGGCGTGCGTCCTGCGTCTGGACGCGCGTCCTGCATCCCTGCGTCTGGATGGACGCTGCGTCCAGACGCAGGACGCACGACGCGTCCAGCGTCTTTCGCAACATAGCCCATCCCACCCATTTCCACCTCCACCCATCACAACCCATTCTCTGCAGAGCGACAGTGGAGAGGATCACAGGGTACCAGGTGCGCTCCATACTGGGGCTGCCAGCGCCACACAAGGACCTCTACTCTGTGAACCTCATCGGCAACACTGACTTCAACGTGCCGCCTCTCACCGACTTTGCCCCCCTCGTTCCTCCGAACTTCTTCACCAATCTGCTGGCTGGCAAGCCTGTTGCTGGCCCGCCTATCTTCATTGGGCCCGGCCATGTATCCAGTGGTGCGTGCTCTCATCTTGGCCTGCCCATCTTCCTTGAACCTATCCTCTCTTTCACCTGGGGCGTGTGAAGCTGCGCGCGCGCGCGTGCGGACGCATGTGCGTGTGCATGAGTGAGTGCGTGTGTGTGCGTGCGTGTGTGTGCGTGTGAAGGTGTGCCCGTATGTGTGTGTGCGTGTGCGTGTGTGCGCGTGCATGTGTGCGTGTGCGTGTGTGCGCGTGCGTGTGTGCGCGTGCATGTGTGCGTGTGCGTGTGCGCGTGCGCGTGTGTGTGTGCATGTGCGTGTGCGTGCGAGCGCGTGCGGGTGTGTGTGCGTGTGCCTGTGTGTGTGTGTGCATCTCCGTGTGCGTGCGCGTGCTGTGTGTGTGGGTGTGCGTGTGTATGTGTGTGTGTGTGTGTGCATGTGCAAGTGTGTGTGCGTGTGCATATGCGAGTGCGTGTGTGCGTGTTTGTGTGTGCATGTGGGAGTGTGTGCGTGTGTGGTCGGGTCAGGTTTGGACCCGTTATTGACCGGGCCCTGAATCGGGTCAGTTATCTAGAAATCGGGTCGGGCCCATCTGTTAGGAGTGTAACTAGCCGTCAAACTAGGGTATCAGCTATGTGTTAAATGATGGCGATAGGGTTGGGCTAACCTCAATGTCGAGAGAGATCTGTGTAAGTGATTGGGGGGGTTGGGTCTTGTAGATCCAGTGCGGTGACGAGCGGTAAGTGGCGGAAAATTGTTGCTTGTTTTTGTTCCAACAAATTTGAAGGGGAGGAGGGGGTGCCTGACTTTCCTCACTCAGTTAGTGGCGAAATCAAATAAACTGGTGAAATCGCCGATCACATCAGATCAGCTTGCAAAATCGCCGATCTGCGCAAATCAGCAGGCGAAATCGCCGGTCTGCGCAGATCCCCAGGCGAAAGCGCTGATCTGCACAGAGCGCAGGGCGAAAGCAGGTTTCTGTATCCGACCCGCCCCCGGGTCGACCGGGGGTGGGTCGGACATGACCCGATCGTTAAAGGCTGGCCCGGGGTTGACCCGACCCGACCTGACCCGATCCCCTCATGGCCCGCCCAAATCGGGTCGGGTCGGGTCGGGTCGGGTCGGGTCGGGTCGGTTCAAATGCTCATGTCTATGTCCTGTCATGCGTGCTTACAATGTTTGAGTCGACTCAAAAGTCACCCTGGTCATGTGTCCAGTAATACGTGCTTTTGACGTTTGAGTTGACTAAATAATCACCCTGGTCATGTGTCCAGTCATGTGTGCTTTCACTGTTTGAGTCGACTTAACTGTCACCCTGGTCATATGTCCAGTCGTGCGTGCTCCTTTCCTGTCCATTATTTTCTGTTGTGCACCAAGTATGTCCCAATGGGTAGTTCCTCACCTCTAGTTGTAGAAGTTGAGGGTTCAATTCCCAGTTTCTGCACTCTCCCCTTTCATATTATGCTCACCGAGACATGTCCATTCTCCACTACACTCACCAACAATGAAGTGTTGCCACCTGTCCACTCATCCCATGCTCACCTTGCTGGCCCCTATGGTGTGCCATATGCTGTCATGTGGGATGTTGTTCCAGCCTGGCCCACATGTAGGGTTGAGCACGGGCCGGGTAGGGTTCGGCCCGGGTCGAGCCGGGCCCGGCTGCCCAAAAAGCGGGCCGAACCCTGCCTTGCCGGGCGGCCCACCCCGGGCCGAAGGAGCAAGACCTTGGCCCGGGTTCGCCCAGGGGATGTCTGAGCCAAAAAGGGCCCGGCCGGGCTGATTATGGCCCGACCCAGGCCAAACTCTCCCCGGCCCGGGTGCAATTTCGATAGTCACATTTTTTTTTATTGTTGTTCTAGAGATGCAAACCTGTCAAGGACAACCGCCTAGCATTGTACTCTTGCGGATTTACAACTACAACGTGTAGCACCGTATTATGTTGAAACCACAAATAGTCAAGTGAGAAGGACCCCCGCGACGAATATCGCGGGGGTCAAAACTGGGCCAAAAAGGCCCGCCCCGGGCCGCGCCTTGTGGCGGGCCGGGCCGGCCTGCCCCTAACCCGCGGGCCAAAAGCGGGCCGCCGTAGGTTTGCCGGGCCGGGAAGGTTCGGCCCGCCCCGGGCCGTCAGCCCCAACCTACATGTTCGGCCCGGGGCACTTTCGGGCCGGCCCGACCCGGGCCGAACCAGGTTCCGTTAGATGCTCAACCCTTTCCACATGTGCAACCTGAGGCCTCACTTTCTAGCTTACTAAGGTTTGCTAGCCCTTCACTCAACTTTGAGGTGCTACATCACATCCAGCCTCAAGAGTTCAGCCACATAGATGGCTGCACCAACTCCCTAGAATTCATTTTCGGACAAGGACATTGCTCTAGTCTCTAAGACTTATACCATCTTCCTTCTAAGGATATTTTTTTCTTCTCAGTGTGCCTTGAAGTCCACCGATCCATTTTCTACAATTTTGGACAGCCTCAAATGCGCGTCCTCACCGCTCTCCAGCTAAGAGAAGAGAGATCATATCAGCCCTGGTCATGTATCCAGTGGTGCGTGCTTGAGGGGCACTCGGACAGACCTGCCCATTCCATTCTTTCCTTTGACAAGCCCGTCGCTATTCCCCAAGCCATGAGTCGACTTCTGAGGCGCCTCAAAAGTTATCTACCTGCGTTGATTTGAGAGTCTTTTCTTTTTACCTGCCCATCGCTATTCCCAAAACATGACTGCCCCATCTCTCCATATACTATCCGATCCATATACTATCCTCCCTCCCTGCCCCTCACTGCCCCTCCCTGCCCCTCCGTACCCCCACCTGCCCCTCACAGTGTTTGAGATTTCGATCTTCCGCCAACTCTTGTTTGCCCCACCCCTGCCTGCCCATGCTTCCCCTCGCAGTGTTTGTGATTCCCATCTTTCGCCACCCGGTGCCAGCCAACGCATCGCGGCAGGAGTTCAGGGAGAGCATCAGCACCACGTGGGCCGCTGTCGTGCAGCTGGAGTGGCGCGCGCGGAACATACTCGACATGCTGCAGGATGGAGACGGTATGACTCAATGCTTTGAAACGATGTTTGAGGCCCCTGAGGCCTGCAGGATGAAGTCCAGCTCAGAAATGGTGTGAAAGGGTATTACTGCAATTTCGAGGCAGACTCAAGGGTTGATTCTGTAGCGAAGGTCGGCCCACGCGTTTCTTTCACACTGCTGAAAAACGGTGAGCTGCTTAGAAAAGGCCTGGGTTGCTTAGAAAAGGCCTGGGTTGCTTAGAAAAGGCCTGGGTTGCTTAGAGACGGTGTCCTCCTCCTCCTCCCCCTCCCCCTCCCCCTCCCCCTCCCCCTCCCCCTCCTCCCCCTCCCCCTCCTCCCCCTCCCCCTCCCCCTCCCCATCCCCCCCCTCCTCCTCCAACTCCCCCTCATCCCCCTCCCTCTCCCCTCCCCCTCCTCCCTCTGCCCCGTTCCTTCCCCCTCGCCTCTCCCCCTCGAACTCCTCCCTCTGCTCCTCCACCTGCACACTGCCTCACTACCCCTCATGCCATACCACTGAAGGGCGTACCTGATACTGTGTGCATCAATCGGCCCACCCCCAGATCTCCCCCCCACATGCCGCGCCACCGACTCCTCTATGTTGCAGGGATTTTTTCTGAGAATTCTTAAAAGATCTCTGCGCTCCTCTGCGCCACAGACTCCTTTGCGCTCTACGACAGCACAGAGCCGGGCAAGCTGGTGCCGCCTACCCTCCTTGGGCAATCTCTATCCTTGACATGCTGCTATGCTACTACCCACCCTCCCTCCTCTTCATTGTCCTGCTCACCCCACAGGCAGCGCCACATACTCCTTTGCGCTCTACGACAGCACGGAGCCGGGCGAGCTGGTGCAGATCTGCTCTGCCATTCCACTCATCTCATACTCCCCACTCCACGTTACTCCATGTTCCCACATTCCCCACATCTCCCCTTCATCCCCCCCCACAGCTAGCAGCGCGTATTCCTTTGCGCTCTACGACAGCACACAACCGGGCGAGCTGGTGCAGATCTATGGGCCGCAGGAGGTGCAGTGCAGGTGGTGAGCGGCATGCTCTTCCCCTACGTGCTGCCCTCAGCCCGGTGTCCTCCGTGTCTCCCGTCCCGCAGGCAACAGCGCGTATTCCTTTGCGCTCTACGACAGCACGCAGCGGGGCGAGCTCGTGCAGATCTTGGGCCCGCAGGAGCCGCAGGTGGTGAGCGGCGCACTCTTCCCCTACGTGCTGCCCTCCACCGCTCTGCCTCACAGTGACCACGTGGAGCCATTCCCTGAGGGGCTGTTTGGTCGCACGTATGAGGCGCACTGCAGGTGGGTGACGTGATACCATGTGAATGCACCATGTTCCCAAGTGAGAAGTCTTATATGCTGGTGGGACTGCTGTTCCTTTGAGTAAAAAAAAAAAAAAAGTAGGCAAGAGGAACAACACGAAGCGAAACAAAACTCCTCGTTCATTTTCACACTCAGTTGCGAAGGCACATACACCAAGTGAGACCTTGTCTGCAAACCATGCATGTTGCTCAGGCTGCTGGTGCTGCTCCTTCTGTCGTTTGAGTCAACAAAGACAAAGGTCTTTCCCGGCTACCTCACATTCCCCGTACGCCCTCACTGGTGCCGCTTGCACTGCTGCTAGTGGCGCTCCTTCTAACTTTTGATTAAATTAAAGAACATTCTTTTTGTCTCTCTCACACTCCCCATGCGCCCTCAGTTTCGAAGGCGCATACCCCAAGTGGGACCTGGTCTACGCACCCATGCTGCTGGGTCTGCTGGTGCTGCTCGTGGCGCTGCTACTGTCTGCTATGATTGCAGTGATGGCATGGAAGCGGAGGCACATGGCGGAGGGCGTGAGGGAGATGGAGGTTTGCACAGCAGCACTGGAGAAAGCAGAGCACTGCAAGAGCGAGACCGTGGCTAACCTGTCACACGAGCTGCGCACGCCAATCATTGGCATGATAGGTGCGAGCTCGCCCTCTTACATTACCATTGGCGCCGCTTTGTTCTCCGCTTTCTCCTCCGCTTTCTCTTCCGTCTTCTCCTCTTTCTTGTCGACTTTGTGGGTACGAACTATGATACAATTGTCTATTGGAGTAGCAGCAGGAATGAGCCGTCCCACAAATCACCAGCTCAGTCGATTCGCACACGGCGAATTTCCTAGATTACCCGTGTCCTTGCCATTGACGTCGGTTGGGATGGTGCTTGCTCCCGTCAAACCTCTCGTAGCAGGGATGCGGGGGAGTGTGCGCGTGCGGCCGGGCTTTCTCTTTGCGACAAGCTGCCTCCCAGTGACAACGCTCCCTCTCGGTTTCTCTCTCTTTCTGAATTCTGGACTGGCAGGGATGATAGAGATGCTGCTGGAGTCGCAACTGGAGGAGTGGCAAACATCGGATCTAAGGGATGCGGGGGAGTGTGCGAGGGAGACGGTGGACCTCATCAACCGCGTGCTCGACCTCGCCAAGCTGCAGGCCGGCCGCCTCCAGCTCGAGACTCTGCCGATCTGCCTGCCCCGCGTGGCTCAGCACGCCGTCGCCCTCGCTGCTCAAGACGCCTGCGCCCGGGGGCTGAAAGGTACGCGATGCGTTTTCTGCAGAGAGGTTCTAAGCTCACAAGGTATAAGCTGTTATGTGCAAAGGGGCTAGGAATTCTAAAGGACTATGCTAAGGCCGTGTGCGCGGGAGATGGTGGACCTCATCAACCGCGTGCTCGACCTCGCCAAGCTGCAGGCCGGCTGCCTGCAGCTCGAGGTGTTGTCATTTTATCTATTGAGAAATGTTGGGTTTGCGGGGAGTCACTCTACATCGGAGTAGCTAGACTAGTGGGAAGGCACGGGTGGTACGTGTGATCGTAGTTTTGCTCGTGTTCTCACTACTTGCGTGTTCACAGAGAAAGTTGACAAGAGTTTCACTAGCAAAAAAGAGAATAATGGTACACAATGGTTAGGCAAAGATGACTACGTCAGATGCAAGACATCCTAGCAAGCAGACAGGTCGACCTCTAGCAAGCAGGCAGGTCGACCTCCTGCGCAGCACGAGGGCGGCTTGCCAGCACTGCAAGTCGGCGACCTTCCAGCGCTGCACCAGGGCGGCTTGCCAACGCTGCAGCAAGGCGGCTTGCCATCGTTGCAACCGCAGGTGTCCTTGCGCGCACATGTGCGCACCTACCAAGTAGGTGCAGGTAGACGGTTGCCCGTCAGGCACATTGCGCAGGTGCCTAGATCGACCACATGTCGACGGTTACTCCCAGATGTGCCACGTCGACCACGTGATGTCGCCACGCAGGTCAACTTCGCCAAAACCACCTGGCGCGAAGTTCGCGCACCCCCGCAGAACTTCGTCGGTCAGTAAACAGGTCGACCAGAAGAGGCCGCCAAGACGGCGCCGACTTCGTCGGCCACTGGATGTTTATAGGTCGGCGTCATGCCGCCGACCACCTTCGTCGGCCGCCGATGCTCCACACCATTCGCTGAAGTCGGCTCCGTCGTGGCCAGCTTTACCGTGGCCGGCTTCATTGTGGTCGGCTTCGGCCAAGTCGGCCTCGCCGAAGTTGGCTCCACTGAGGTCGGCCAACTAAACCGGCTTGCTCCTTCAAGTCGACGCCGACCACAAAACCTAGCCGGCTGCACCCCTTGCACACCAGACAACGAAGTCGGTTTCGCCCAAGCGAGGGCGGGGCATTTTCTCGTCAACAGGGTGCACCTTCCAACCACAACTTATGGTTGGTGAGGATTGGTCATGAAGCGTGGTCCTTAATTGACATTTGCCAACTCTTGGTCTTTAGCTCCACCAATCTCAATCAACTCATATTTATGGTTGCTCTAGTTACAAGCAAATATAACTATTGGCGAGCTAGGACGAGCTTCCGCTCCACTCTCTTCTTGCTCCTTTATGCTATAGAGCCACTTGGCTCCTTATTCAAAACAAATGTTATCCTTCTTAACATGGTAGCCATGATGTATTTTTCATAACATGTTCCCTATGTTGTGTTTGGGATGCAGTGTCTTGCCATGTGGATCCAAGCTTGCCGGACGTGCTGATGGGCGATCCAACGCGACTGACACAAGTCGTGGGCGAGATCACAGGTGAGTGGAGGACACAAATATGTGGGGGTGACGGGTGAGTGGAGATAACATGTAAGTGGAGGTGACTTGTAAGTGGAGGTGACATGTGAATGGAGGACACAGATGAGTGGGGTGGCGGGTGAGTGGAGGTGACTATGTAAATAAGGAGAATTGTTGTAATAGCCAACATTATCGGAGGGCCAATAGTTGTTGGTGTTGACTACTACCGTCATCACCCGGATATAAGACAATGTTGAATAGAAGGCAGGGGTTGTCTTCAAAACGGGTGTCTCTTATAAATGGGTGTTCCTGATTATAAGACACATGTAGGCGTGTACGAGGCAGTGTCTTCTAAACAGTATCGTAGTAGGGTTTAGGGGTAATCTTATAACGAGGGGGTATCTTCTAAACAGTTATTTGTCCATTTATAAGACTTATAAGACACCCTAAACCGTCCCAAATACAAGACAACCCAAGCATTTTTTCTAGTGTATAAGATAAGACATATATGTCTTATATCCGGGCGATGACGGTATTGGATCTAGAAGGTTGAATGCACACCAACTAATTCACACAAAGTATTCTTAAGTGTCCTTGGGTGCCTGGTATAGCCAGCCCCTGTGTCTGTGTTTGTAGAGAGAAAACCAAGTATGAAATCAATCGATTGCTCTAGAGTAGTCCCGCACTCGTTTGCAAAATTATTTCTAAGAAGCACACATTTTTTTTAGAAAGACTAGCACACAAACCAAGCAAATACTAAACCTTTAATTAACTGCATTCGAGAACTTGGCCTTGAAAATCGTTGCCCAACTTCTGCTTAAAACCCGAAGCCCAAGTTGCACAGATTAATAATCTTGATGGCAGAACACTTGGGTTGGCAAGGAGTTTCTAGCACTGGTGTCTTCGTCTGTGCTTGTGTTTGTATGAACTAAAGTCCCAAGTTGCAGTACAAGGTTCTTCAAGTTGAGTATCGGAACTAGGTTGGATTTGTAGAAAATGTCGCAGGGTAACACCTAGGTTATCAAGATTAGTAATCTTGATGCCCGCGACCTGCAATTTGGGACTCGAGCTTTAAATCGACACGGTTCACCTGCTGGGAAAAGTTGTTTTCAGCTTGCACGTCCTCCAAGCGCCTATGCTGACTCCTCATACAAGCACTCATGAATTCGAATTACTACTCATGAAGCCTCGTGTGGGAATTCCCGTTTCCCAACGGGTATAACGAGCAACGCCAACCACTTGTGTTCGAGGTCATCTGCAATTCATAAGAAACCACGTCCCGATTTTGAACCAGCCGACCTGAGAGACGATAATGGAAGAGATAGTCGAGTGAGGATAGATTTTGACCAAGAAATATGCAGGGGGGACGGAGGGGGGGAGAGGGGAAAGGAGGAGGGGGAGGCGAGCTTCCCTTGTGTGGGGGGGCAATCAATATAGTGAATAAGAACATGTGCTCTTATGTTCAAATCTTAATGAGTGATGGAAGAGAGAATAGGTTGGGAGTACAAGGAGGCTTGAGCAAGGTGGCGAACACTTCGAGGCGAACCGAACAGGTTTTGTTTTTCAACTTAAATCGTTCGCCCGAACTTGTTCGAGGTTCGCCCGAACACGTTCGTGTTTGTGGCGCTGCTGCAAAACGCCCCGTGTCGAACACGAACGTGTTCGAGGTTCGCCCGAACACGCCTCCACAGGCAAAAGGACGTGTTCGAGAAGGGGCAATCACGAACATGTTCGTGTTCACCGTTTGCTCATCCCTAAGTAGAAGGTTATTGAGGAGGGTGGCATGAAGGAGGGCATAGCAATAGGAAGAAGTGGGGCAGGAGGTATGGACAACGAGGCATCGAGCGGTTTTGGTGATCTTTCAAACACAGCTCTCAGCCACACCATTCTGCTGCGGAGAGTGATGGAGAGTGTGGGCTTGACGAACGACATGGGATTGGCAATAGGATGCTTTCTGATGATTGAGAAACTCGCCACTATAACCAAAATGAAGGCTCAATATATTGATGCACTTGAGAATCTAAGCTCCACTGTATATCAATTATTCCAACTCAAATTTCTACCATTAGAGTAAAATACTAGTAAATTTTTGACATGTTCTTCTGATCACTTGTTATTCTTTCCTATGCCCTTTTGCCTCTCCCCGTCCGCACATCTTGCAGCGCATGCAGCGAGCAACACTCTAGCGGGCGACATCACCTTCCATGTGTGGTGTGCCGCTCCTCCTCTCCACCAAGGCCCTCCCACAACCGCTTCTCGTCCGTCCACCCCTCGTCCCACCATGCCCTGTCTCATTACCTCTCGACCCACCACCCCTCAGCCATCCACCTCTCGACCCACCACCCCTCAGCCATCCACCTCTCGACCTGCCACCCCTCGTTTGCAAGGCACCACCTCACCGCTTTTATCCCCCCTTGCTCTTCCCACCCCATGGCAACCTCCCCCTCTCCCCATTCCATCTCACGTCCCTCAAAACTCCCACACCCTTCTCACCCCTCCAGCCTCACCACCAGCCCCTCAAACCCCTCCTCGCACCCCTCTATCCCCCAAGACACCCCCATTATCTCCAGCCCCCGTGGCCCTCCAATCCCCTCGCTCCCTCCCACTCCCTCACCCTCCCCCATTATCTCCAGCCCATGCTGCCCCTCAATCCCCGCGCTCCCTTCTAGCCAATCGCACCCCACCGTTATCTCCAGCCCCTGCTGCCCTGCTCGCCCCCACAGCCTGGCAGCAGCTGGCAGCGTGTGTGCGGCGATTTCCCCCAGACACCCGCCTGGTGTGCACCCCTCAGCACCTCACAGCACCCCTGGGAAGTGGCTCCTCGAAAGCGGAGAGTCAGGGAGGGAGGCTGCTGGCAGGGCTGGCAGGGATGGGAGGGCTGGGAGGGGCGGGATGGCTGGCAGGGCTGGGCCTGCTGAAAGAGTGGGGAGGGGGGAAAGGTGCAGACGAAACTTGTGTGGGTGAGCGGCAAAGCGCAGTTGTGGAGAGTGGTGCGGATGGGCAGGTGGAAGGTGGTAAAGGTGGGCGGTTAGAGAGGGAGGTGGCGGCGTGGGTGGAGGGGGCGTGCAGGGCGAGAGGGGAGGGCGAGTGGATGGTGGTGATGGCGTGTGAGGATACGGGCGGTGGTATACCACCCGAGGAGATGCGGTGGGTGCTGGATCCGTATGGGAGCTCCACTGCTGCTGCCGCTGATGCTGCTGATGATGATGGTGCTGGTGGTGCTGGGCGTGGTGATAGCAAGAAGCAACAACGAGGCACGGTGAGTGAAGCGGGGCGTGCATGTGTATGACAGCTACATTGGATGGTTGTGTGCATTGAATTGAACCTACCTTTCTTTCCTGCGTGCTGCTTTTGAGATGTCTCAAAAACACATTGTTATCACGTGGCTATGTGTGCGTGCATGTGTATGACAGCCACATTGGATGGTTGTGTGCATTGAACGTACCTTCCCGTCCTGCGTGCTGATTTCGGGTTTCTCTATGCTCTGCCCTCATCAATGGCCCGTGTTTTGAGTCGACTCAAAACACGACTCGTCAATGGCCCACTTGTCCCCTTCGCTGTGTCTCACGTCCACCTCTTTCCACTTCGTATCTCCCCTTCTTTTGAGTTGGCGCAAAATGTTGCCTTTTGGGTCTCTCTATGCTCTACCCTCTTGAATGGCCCACTTGTCCCTTTCGTGCGCCGGCCTTCCACCTCTTCCCACTTCACGCTCTCTTTTTGGAAGACCATTCGTCATCTCTTTCCCCACCGTCTCCCCATACCATCGCTTCCATCTGCCTCCCTGGGCAGCCTGTTTACCTCTTTAGACTACTCGTGCCTTAACTCTCCCTCTCAGCCTCTTTACACTACTCATGCCTTAACTCTCCCTCTCTCATATTGGGTGCTTGTTCTGCTGGCCGTACAGGAGCCAAGGAGGGGCAGCAGAGCCACCCCTCTCACGCACGACGAGAGGGCTGCTGCTCGCCCTGCCTGGACGCCCTACCCTGTCCGCTTCCTCCTCTCCACCTCCCTCGTGAGTGTTTCCTCCTCTCCACCTCCCTCGTGAGCGCCGCAACACTCAACCGTTTTTTTCTGCCAAGGATGTGCCGACACTTGTCAGGGTCCGTGCAGAGGAGACTCTGTTGATGCGGCTGTTGGATTACACATCTCTTCTATCCTACATCGTTCCTATAAACGTTTGGGTAAAGATATGCACCCAAACCTAGTTGGAGTTTGGGATAACCAATCGTGGTCCAACTTTTGGCCCCAAGGTTGGGTGGGAATTATTGGACCGCCAATAATGTTGGCCCAACATTGGCCAACATGATTGCCCTTCCCCCCCTCTCCAATAATGTTGGTGGAGGCCAATAATGTTTGCCAACTCCTAACCAAACCTGCCCCTCTCTAGCTCGATTATGTATACCCTCGTATTCTCTATTTCGATCATCGGTTCTTCACGTTTTTCAACAGCGGCCACTTGGCAGCTGCAAGCTCTTGTGCACTTGGCAGCTGCAAGCTCTTGTGCACTTGGTGCATGCCTTGCGTGGATCAGATCGGATGCACCTTGTGCCACCTTTGAGCACCACAATGTCCAGATTGACAAGGCTGGCTGCCCGTTGACAAGATCGGGCTGCGCTTGATAAGGCTGGAGTGAGCACCACCACCACCACCTGGCGAAGGACGACGGATGGTTCCAGGACGAGACAGTTGGGCAATCGAGTGCTTTGGGATCCGCACGAGGGCGTGGATTTGTACAGTTTCACGTGGCAAATTACCGGCTTTATTGCAACACCTAGGAAGCATGCCAAATTAAAAGAGGGTTTCAGAAAGATTGAAAATCTGTTTCAGCAGTGGGAACTGAAGGTGGAGAAAGGATTGGGCCATGCCTGAAGGGCACTTGTGGGGCCATACACCACATGCCTCCACTCACAACCCTCTCCACTCCTTGTTGCTGCTCTCCTCTTCTCCCCACTCCTCTCCACTCCTTGTTGCTGCTCTCCTCTTCTCCCCACTCCTCTCCACTCCTTGTTGCTGCTCTCCTCTTCTCCCACTCCTCTCCACTCCTTGTTGCTGCTCTCCTCTTCTCCCACTCCTCTCCACTCCTTGTTGCCGCTCTCCTCTCCTCCCCACCCCTCTCCACTCCACCCCCAGGTGGCGGAGATGCGGGGAAGCATGGCAGTGCTGTCAGACAGCGCCACAGGCACCACCATCCTGCTGGCGCTGCCCCTCTCGGCACCCACCCCCCCAACCGAACCTGGGAACAGCAGCAGCAGGCGATGGGAGTGGCGTGAGGGGCAATCCAGAGGGCTGCAGCACTGGATGGGGGTTCCCAGAGGGCTTTCCAGGAGCTCCTCTTTACACTCTGTCCCTTTGAGCCCAGTAAACCCTCTAAGCCCAGTTGCCCCTTTGAGCCCATTAGCCCCGTTAAGCCCACTCAACCCTTTAAGCCCAGTAGCCCCTTTAAGCCCTGTAAGCCTGCGGCCACAAGCAATGGCACAGCTGACTCTTCCCTCAGTACCGGGCAGCATTGAGAGCAGCTTAAGGGGGAGCAGCACAGGGGTTGTGGGGGGGGTTGCTGGGGGGATTTGGGGCGGCGGTGCGGGCGCAGAAGCGGGGGTGCGGGCGGCGGTGGCGGGGCGGCGGGTGGCAGTGGTGGATGACAACGCGGTGAACCGCATGGTGGCGCGGCGAACGCTGCAGGGCTACGGGGCAGACGTGCTGCTGCTTTCTTCAGGAGAGGACACCCTGCAAGCTCTCTCCTCGCCCCCCTCTTCCTCCACGCCTCTCCAACTGCTGCTTCTGGACCTCCACATGCCTCCTGGCATCGACGGGTGAGAGCCTCTCTGCCTCGCTGCATACCGGCCCACGTGCTGCGGCTGGCCTCGGGAGAGGACGCCCTGCAAGCTGTCTCCCTGCCCTCCTCTCCCTCCCCGCCCATCCAGTTGTTGCTGCTGGACCTCTACATGCCTCCTGGCATCGACGGGTGATTGCTTCCCTGCTTTTAGACCTCTCATAATCGAGTTCTGAGACGTCTCAAAAGGGTGTTGAGACGTTTCTAATCTTCACATACTTCCTGGTAGTTTGTGCCATCTTGCCTCACCCCCACATGCCCTCCCTGCTTCTGCCTCTCTCCCTGCTCTCTCCCTGCTCCCTGCTTCTTCCTCCCCGTTCATGTCGCAACCCAAGTTGGAATATACGCGTTCCACGTTTTATACGCAAGTGTATCTACCATATGAATGCTGTACGCTGCGCGAGAAGGGTCCTGTACGCACAGAATACGCAGGCTCGGGCAGATAAACATTCTAGTTTGCTATGTCGCGAGCTCAAACCGGCTTCTGGATTTTTTTTTTCGGTCTGCCCAAGCGTTCTTCGGCGTATTGAAACCAAAAAAAACACAGCGTACATATTTTTGTAGCGTATAAACTCCAATACGCAAGTACAGCTGAGCGTTTTTTCCAACTTAGGTCGCGACTACATGACGGCAGTGTGCTGTGAGTCACCATTGGTCTGATTGGAATTGCCATCCTCGGCATTTTTTGCCATTCTTGGCATTCTTTGCCCTTCTTGGCATTCTTTGCCATTCTTGGCATGGTCCCAACAATGCCGCATACAACTCCTCCTTGTCCTAATCAACTGCCCCCTTTGTACCTTCACCTGCCCTCCATTGTACCAATCAATTGTCCCCCCTTTTTGAGAATTCTCAAGAGGCAGATTTGAAACGGCGCAATCCCAATCTGATTGGTTTGAGTGCCGCTTTTGACAATGTTCTCGTGCTTTTCTTTTACAAACTCCACCTTCGTTACCCTTGTGTCTACTGCTCCCCCATGCGGCAGATTCGAAACGGCTCGGCGAATCCGGCGCATGGAGAGCGAACAGCAACTTCCGAGCGTGGCAGAAGTAGCAGCAGCCGACGAAGCAGACGCAGCAGGAGCTGTCCAGGCAGGAACACCAGCCGCCAATGAGGCTGGAACAGACGAAGCAGACACAGCAAGCAAAGCAGAAGGGGTTAATGAAGCAAGAACCGATGACGAGGCAGCGAGCGAGTTCAGTTTTCAGACGCCTCAAGAGTCCACGACACCAGCCGACGGTTCAGACAACGAAATTTCTTTTCAGACGCCTCAAGAGTCAACAGCAGTGGGAGAGGCAGTGACAGAAGAAGCAGCGGGTTCAAGAAGCACATATTGTCAGCGGCTGTGCATCATAGCCCTGACGGCAGATCTGGATGTTGGGGTGAAGCGAGCGTGCTTTGAGGCGGGGATGGATGGAGCCGTGCGCAAGCCGATAGTGGCGCATGAGCTGCTTGCAGCACTCGTGGATGCGGGCTTTGCAGATATTGAGATGGACGATGCACTCGTATTGTAGTGGTTCCCGGGTTATTTAGTGTGCCAAATGAATTCTCTCATGGGGAGCATGAGTTGTGGCTCTTTAATCTGGTTTCTTGAGTTTGATGCTGGCCTTTTTGGGGGTTTGCAGAGCAGCATTATCGTCCGTCTTTTGCTGTTTTTGCCCCTGATGGTCAAGCTACGGTATGTGTAGAACACAAAGTACCGTATTTACCCGGCTAATATACCCCACAAAATTATAGACCCCCGGGTCATTAAATGGGGGGGGGGTCTAATGCTATCTCCACTTTCGTTTTAGGCCCCCCTTTTTGTAATACATTCAGGAAACTTACCATGTGAGGTTGCTGATACGGTACAGCCGGATTTGCGTACCATATTGACCCTGCTAATAGACCCGGGGGTCTAATCCTACCCCGGGAAAAAAAGGGGGGTGGGGCTATTAACTGGGTGTAAATTTAATAGACCCGGGGTCTAATCCGACATGTTTTCGTTTTTCTTCAAAGTCATCAAAAAACACTAGTGTTACAAACGGTGGAGGCGGATACGGTTCGTTTCTAGTGTAATACTGGTTTAAAGACATACACACGATTAGACAAACAATCTCAACACAACCGGAAACCAACCTCTCGACGTTGAAAGGCGAGGTTGAGCCCGTTGAGAAGATCAAGCATGTCTGCCATAAAGTACAGAAACACACGAAACTTGTAGGAGGTGACTGTCTTGTACATCTCCGCGTCGAAGTCCAACAGCAGCAGCACAACGGCGGGCAGGACTGCAACAAGCCTTGAAACCGCTGCCCCACGAGACAGCCATCGGACGTGGAAGATCCCTTGAAGCTCCAGATTAGTTTCCGTGAAGACCTCCTGCAGCTCACGGAACTTGTTGTGCCAGTTGCTCGATCTCCCGAGCTATTGAGCCAGAGAACGGATGACCGTGTCAATGATGTCCAGCTCAGGGATGTCAGTGGCCGCATCCTTTGCAGCAAGGGCCTCCCTGTGCATGGGGGATAAAAGACTGAGCAATGGTTAGTGTAAAACCTTGGGAAGCGTGGCTGACATGGAAAGAAAAACATGACGTTTTACCTGTGCGCGATGCAGTGTGATGAGACAAGGTGAGGCGCATGTCGTCGAATGCGAGCCACCAGCCCATTTGTCCCTCCAATCATGTTAGATGCCCCGTCGGTGCTCATTCCAGAAAACCGCCACAGTGGTATGCCAATTGAGGACATGTGTTCTTTGACAACTGTAAACAGGGTGGCTGAGTCACACTTCGTCACCGTCAGTAAGGCAAGAAACTCGGTCACGACTCGAGAGTCCCGGATGGAAGTGATGAACAAGATCAGGTGTTTGCCCCGCGTTTTGTCTGTGCTTTCATCACAAGTGAGGCCGAGGTAAGGGCTTTCTTTAATGTGCTCCATCTGAGTTGCATGGAGCCACTGTGTCATGGCTTTAACCAGTTGAGCAAAGCCGTACCTACATAGTTCAATGGAACCTCGCTGAGTCTTCTCCCATAACTGCTGCATGGTGGTGATAAAGTCATGTGCGGCTTGGACCTGTGCCGATGTGGTCGGCTGCTGTGGTGTAAGTGGTTCCCGTCCGTAACACAGGAAGAAAGGAGATTTCCCTGTGGCCGCATGTGATGCGTTGTTGTAAGCGAACTCTAGGGTCGGTAACTGTGTGTCCCAGTGGCTGACATCGTCTTTGCAAGCTGTGCGCAGTAACTGTTCAACCACCTGATTGAGTCGCTCTGTCTGTCCGTCAGTCTAGGGGTGGTATGCTGAAGACATTGCAAGCTTTGTCCCCAACAGTCCCATGAGCTCCTTCCAGAACTTACTAGTGAATTTTGGGTCTCTGTCTGAGATGAGTGTAGCGGGGATTCCGTGGATGGTGATGATGCGGTCGAAGAAGAGGCGAGCAGTTGGTTCAGCTGTAGCCGTGGTGTTGGTCGGAATGAAGTGACCCATTTTAGAGAACTTGTCGATCACCACGAGTATAGCGTCATGCCCTCGTGAGGTCGAAGGAAGTCCCGTGATGAAGTCGAGGCTAACGACTTGCCATGGCTGCTCCGGTACGGGTAGAGGCTGAAGTAACCCTGCTTTTTTCTGCTTGCTACTCTTCATCCGCTGGCACGTGTCGCAAGAGGTGACGAACTGCTGCACGTCTGCTGCCATCCCGGGCCAGTAGTAATACTTTGCTATCCCTGCCAACGTCTTGTTGCTCCCAAAATGTCCCGCGTATGGTACGTCGTGAAACTCCTCCAGTAGAATCTGCCGTAGCAGGGCATAGTTCGGTACCCAAATCTTTCCTGAACCCTTCCTTACAGCTAAGTCTTTCTCCAACTGTAACAGCTTCTGTTTCTCTGCCGTAGCAATCTCTTCGTCCACGGAGTACCCATGTTGGAATAGACCCTTGAGCAGAGGGTTCATCCTGTCGAGCTGGATGCCTGCTACATGACCGGGGCGGCTCAACGCGTCTGCTTTGTTGTGTAGCCCGGGCTTGTAGACGATGTCGTAGTGGAAGTGAGTTTCCAGGAAGTCCACCCACCGCACCTGTCGTCATGAGAGCGTCGGCTATGACTTCAGGTATTTGAGACTGCAGTGGTCAGTATAGACTGTAGTCTTGGCTCCCTCTAGGTAACACCTCCACGCCTTGAAGGCTATGACTATCGCTAAGGCTTCCTTGTCATGGATGGGGTAGTTCAGTTCTGCTCCGTGTAACTTCTTACTGAGGTAGGCGATGGGCTGCAAACCGCGTCCGTGATCCTGCATCAATACTGCTCCGACTGCTTGGTCACTAGCGTCTGCTTCCACCACGTAGTCCTTGTCTGGGTTCGGTAAGATGAGTACTGGCGCTGTAGTCAGTGCTGTCTGTAGCTGCTCCATGGCTTGCTGATGCGGAGTATCCCATTTGTAGGGCGTATCCTTTTTCAGTAGGTCGGTCAGTGGCGCCGCTATCTTAGCGTACTGCGGCATGAACCTGTTGTAGTAGTTGGCGAAGCCTAGGAACTGCTGCAACTCCTTTACGTTCTCCGGTACTTTCCACTTTTTAACGGCTTCGATCGTCCGCGGGTCCACGTGTACGCCCTCGGCACTCACCATGTGCCCGAGAAACTGCACCTTCTTCAGGGCGAAGTCGCTTTTCGACAGCTTCACGTAGAACTTGTTTTTCCGCAGGATCTCGAACACTTTCCGTAGATGCTCCATGTGCTCTTTCATGTTCATGGAGTAGATGAGTATGTCGTCCAGGTACACCACTACGCACTCGTCCAGCAGGGGCCGTAGGATATGGTTCATCTCCGCCAGGAACGTCGCTGGTGCGTTGCAGAGTCCGAACGGCATCACCAAGTATACGTAGGAGCCGAATCTGGTACGGAACGCCGTCTTGTTGATCGAGTTGTCCGCCAACTTGATCTGCCAGTAACCCGACCGTAGGTCCAGCTTCGAAAAGACTGTTGCACCACGCAGTTGGTCCAGTAGGTCGTCTATGCGCGTTATGGGATATTTGTTTTTTACTGTCTGTTTGTTCAGTGCGCGGTAGTCGATGCATATCCGTCAACTGCCATCTGGTTTTGGAGTGAAGAGAACTAGTGCACCGTAGGGAGAGGTGGATGGGAGGATCAGTTGTCTATCCAGTAGATACTACTCTATCTGCTTCTTCATGTCTGTCAGTTCGGTCGGACTCAGTCGGTATGGTGCACGTGAGACGGGCTTCGCACCTGGTTCCTCCACGATCTCGTGCTCGTGGGTGCGTGCTGGAGGTACGCCTGCAGGTAGGTCGTCGGGCATTATATCCTTGTACTGCTCCAAGACCTCCTTCACTGCTGCAGGTAGCTCTGTGTTCGGCTTCTCCTCCTCTGCTGCTGCCATAACCAGTGCTAAGTAACCCGTGTTACTCTCGTTCATCGTCTGTTCGAACCGTGCCAGTGTCGTTTCAGGAACGCTCCCTGTATCCGTCCAGCTTCGCAGCTCCACTCGTTTCTCGTTGTTGTAGATGCACGCCTTTCTGTTGACCCAGTCGATCTCGGGGTTGAACCGCTTCAAAAAATCTCGCCCCAATATGAAATCTAAACCCTTGATGTTCGTGATCGGCAACGTCGGCTTCCACCTCAGCGCCCCTATGTGCAGCTGCAGTGATGCTTCGCCGTGGATGGGAAGTTTCGTACCGTCCACCATCGTTGCCGTGAACTTGGTCTCCTCCGAAGGTTCTCCAATCTTCTCCAACGTCACGCGGTCACACACCGAGTGAGATGCACCGCTGTCCACCAGTGCCTGGAGGCGTCGTCCTTTGCATAACACCTCGAGGAGTAGTGGTTCCTGCTGCGCTGAGTAGCCAAAGAGGGTTTCATTGAAAGGATCATAGGGTACATCAAAGATATTACCATCCCTATTTCCTACACCTGACTCAGCACTTTTCACTTCTAACTTCACCTGGGGGGTAGGAGGATTTTTCCGAGGCTTGATCAACTTCTCTTGAGCCTGGAATTTTCCTCTAAGCCTTTGCAGCTGTGAAGGCTTCACCTGTGGGCAACGGGGAGCCTTAACACTGTGCTGCTGGGAGAGAATATTAACTCCACGGAACGCACGACCCTTTTCTACGCTCCGCAATACTTTGCCCAACTTCTCAAGTACCTGAATAATGTCTAAAGGCTTTTTCTTGGCCTCTAACTCTCCCCTGAATTTCTCAAAGGCTTGAAAACCACGAGAAGTAATATTCCTTTTTTAAGTATCTTTGTAGGATAACTTTAACGAATTCTTACTTTCGTGGGTGTTCGGCTGGAGTTTCCCGGTCGGTGCAGAGTCTTTTTCGCGGAGCCTCCATTCGCCTTGGCGATTTCCCCTGATGCCGACCGGTCGTGACGTTTTATATTCGCGCCATCATTTTCTCCTTTTTTCGCCCGCTCCGAAGTTGCCACGTCGTCGCCCTTTTTCCCTTTTCGGATCTTTACGCGATCGCCAGGTTGATCCGCGGCTACTGGCGATTCCCATTTCGACTTCGGGGGTGCCGCACTGTTGCCGCACTG